TGGATGATAGGAGATCGATGAATGGATGATAGGAGATCGATGAATGGATGATAGGAGATCGATGAATGGATGATAGGAGATCGATGAATGGATGAAAAAGTGATTGCTTGGTTGGAAAAACAGAGGGAGGGATAGAAATGGGATGGACAGATTAAATGGATGGATTGTGCTGAGATGCGATAGGACGACGAATGGATCAATGGCTAGATGAATGAATGGGAGCGGCAATGGATGAAAGCAAGAATAGAAGTGAAAACAAAGTGATCTGAAAGGATGGATAAATACGAGAGTAATATTATATATAAATATATACATTATACACGGACAAGAATATGAGCATGAATGGGTCATGCAGGTATAAACTGATACTTAGATGAAATAAAATGAATGAGACAAAGGGATGAATGAATAAATAGATTGATGATCGAAGGACCAAACTGTTCAGTCAAAGTGTTCTTACCTGGTCAGCGGTAGGTCTCATATCAGATCTCGGCTCAAGTAAATGTTGAATCAAGTTATCCACATCAGGCCAAGGAGAGCAACCATAGTCTGTAATAGGGTCCACCATTCGTCCTTGCAAAACAGCAGCGTCGAGTTCGTTACGAAACCGAAGATCCTCAAAAGGTCTTTTACCACCCGTAACCAGTTCATACAGAAACATGCCGAACGAGTACATATCCGCTTTCTTATTATAACCAACGTCTCCCCTAGCAACCTCAGGAGCGCGGTAACCTGGGGTGCCTTCTGATGACTTCAAGCCGTATAACGTAGCGTAGCGCGCTATACCAAAGTCTGATATTTTTGCGTTGATAACGATGGATAGGGATAGAGAGAAGATGAGCACGTTGTGTGGTTTGAGATCACGGTATACTATCTTATGATGGTGAAGATATGCCAAGCCCTCTGCGATCTAAAAAGGGAAGGAAAATGAGACTTAAATGAGTAACTGGAGAAGTCAAATCTCCTTGAGCTAAATGCCTGTCTTGTTTTCATACGACATAGAGAGTGGTAAATAAATGCTTCCCCAAACTCTTTGTTGGTTCACGCTACGGTGAGGAAGCACGTGTGACGTAGCAATGAGAGCGCTCGCGTCTCACCAATGCGACCCAGTTTCAATTCCCGGGGGGTGGGGGGGGTACTCCCCTATATTCGCCATACGGGTACGTGCCGCAAAACAGGGTATGCTTTTCAGCGATTTTACTCTGGAACAGGGTATATAAAATCGCTCTCGCTCTGGGACAGGGTATATGAAA